AGCTTACACTTTAAAAGTATTCTTTTAAAAATGCGTGCAAAAAATTCCCCCTACAAAACACACACACTCATCACTTTAAAAAGGGAAAATCCTATAGGCTTAATAACTCTGCTAACCCCACTTGAGTTAGAAAGTTGTGTCTCATTCACAACCAGCCTAGAAAAAAGTTGGTTGCATGTCCACCCTGCGAGGTAGACCAAAGAAGAAACACCACATGTAATTTGATTTTATTGTGCAGCCACATTAAAAGAATCTTGCAAATTTGGAAATATATGTGTCATCACCCTTTTCTTTACAGCCCAAGAAATTAGGGGAGGGTCCTTTCTGAGCCTCTTACCCTGCCCACATTCCTGCTGTGGGCTCAGCTGCCTCTTATTTGAGTGCATTAAATATGACCATTCTTGAATTATACATAAAAGTGTGGGGATTATAATAATTCGCTAGATATTTTCATAGTTTTTATGGGTTAGGTATGCTGCAAAAAGTTTTTGTGCTTTTATTCTTCAAAAGATAACGCTCAGTCACACTTTCCTCTCCTTTATTGACAATTCTGTCCGACGAAGAGCTCTGCATAGCACCGAAGTCTTGCAAACGTTTTGAAAGACGCAGTGGAAAGAAAAATTCTTGCCGCTCTAGGAACAACTCTCACTCCCTGAATCTCCCATTCGACACATACATACTTGGCCGCTCTAGGAACACACCCCCCCCCCCCCCCCCCCCCGGCTCCCTTTCAGGTTCGGCCGCCACCCCCACTCCGGCAGGCGCCCGCGCATAAGCCGAAGCCGGAATGGGCGTGGCGGCCGCCCACTTTTCTCTGATTGGTAGCAGAGCGCGGGGCGGTGCCGTAAATAGTCGAATGGACGCGCGCGAGTTTTTTTTTCTCCGCCCCCCCCTTTTTTTTCTTTCGGGAATTTTTCCTGTAGTGGCGCGAAAAGGAAGCGATGATGGGGCCGGGGATTATGGATGCTGTGGTGGCCGACCTCAAGGTCTTCGGGCTGGATTTCGCGGAGGGGGAAGACCAGGACGCCATTGCCGAGAAATGTGAGGACAAAGCAAAGGGGGAAAAAGGAGATAAAAGGGCAGTGTGTAAAACCGGGCGCTAGTCCTCATGAAATATTGGAATTGGGGGCGTGGTTTAAGCCTATAAATTACCTCTTTTTACGTAGCCTTACATTACTTCTAATAATAAGCCACAAAAGAAGGTGGGACGGCCAGTCAATCCATGAGAAACCAATTCCTACTGTTAGTCCAAGATAGACTGCCGCTGAATGTGGAGGTTTCATGACGGCCATAAGCAGGAGCCACATTTTGGATGAGAAATCAAGGCTTGTCTGCCTTGATCACTGAAGTTCCCTTTGTTCAATTCAGGGTTTGTTTTGAAGGTGCGGCACACTAACACACACACACACCCTCTCTCTTGGCGGGAACCCCAAATCCTATCTCGATTTTGTCCCAACACACTTAAAACTCTGAATTCACTCCCCCTTACGGACTTTTGCACAAAAGAAACGCATTGCAACTTAAGCAGCTGGCAAGGGTGGTAAGACGAACCTGGTTAACCAATAACTGGGATTGTTGTATCGATTGGTGATTTATTAGGCTTGCATACTATGCTGGTTTCCAAGGATTGGGGGCAAGGCATAATACAAAAATAGAACAGTGAAATGAAAACAGCCACAGAAAACTGTGAGCCCAAACAGAGAAACCAACCCCAAATCCAGAAACTACAGTCCCGTTATTATCCCGTTTTATGGATTTGGTTATATATCAAATTTATTTATTTTTATTTTATTTATTTGATTTGCCAATTGTTTACAAGATAATAAGTATAAGTGTATACATAGTTGTGAATACATGAAATGGGTACATATAAGAAAAATAAAAGAAGAATAAGAGAAACAATAGGACAGGGATGGTAGGCACATTGGTGCGCTTATGCACGCCCCCTAATTTAGATGTACTTTATTAATAAATTCAGGTACGATTAGAATTTGGCTCTACGAATCCAGCACCGTGAATCTCTTCCGTGTACACAATTTATCTTTCCCTTCCCCTTCCTCCTCCTCCCTTCCTCCCTCCCCCCACCCTCTCGTGGGGGGGACGGGGGACACAGGAGTGGCACTATCTTTTTCTAAGGCCTGCTGGCTTAAAAAAAGACCATTTCCTTGTTATTTACTCTCTTATTTACTCTCTTACAGTAGAAGAAATCTGCATGACGGGATGGGTATCGAAGTCGGAGTTAGGAAACGAGCTGGTCGCTTTTGCTATGCGCAAGGAAGCTCTTCTTTTGACTCTGGAAAACTTACTTACCTTCGAACATGAGGTAGAGGCTTGGCCTCATTTCTAGCAATGACAGGGTGTCCTTGACTTATGACCATAATTGAGCCCAAAATTTATGTTAATTTGGTCACTCAACAAACGGTTGTAAATCAAGAGCCACCTGTATTTGCACCTATGTTGCATTTTTGCCAACTTTTATCTTTTCTGATCTCTTCCTTGATAGGAAGTTTACAGCCTATAAAATTCTATTCTAATTGTAAAAAAATGATACTGATAAGATGAAGCTTTTCCATTATAATAAAGCTAAACTTTTCCATGGTAATAAAGCTAAACTGGTCTTTTCTATTATAATAAAGCTAAACTATAATAAGGCTAACTATTAAGACCGTAACAACCTCAAATTGCCTAGATTGCAACTCCCAGAATTCCCCAACCAGCATGTTTGTGTTTTTTTTAAATTGTTTTTATTACAGTTTTCAAAAATACAAATCTTACTTTAATTCGTGACAACGCTTTGGCATTGACAAATACATATATCCTATATACATTATTATATACACATCTACATTAATAATCTTAAGGTCTCTTGTGTTATTTACTATAATCCTTCTTTCTAATCTTTATATCTATTTTTTAGCCACTCATACCATTGCATAATATTCAGAATCCTCCTTGTCTTTCATTTCCAATGTGAGCTTATCTATTTCAGCACATTCCAATACTTTTCGTATGACTAAATCTTCTGAAGGGATATTAGCTCCTTCCCATAATTGTGCAGAAGCTATTCTGCCCCAGCCAGCATGTTAGAATAGAATAGAATAGAATAGAATAGAATAATAGAATAGAATAGAATAGAATAGAATAGAATAGGGAATATAATATAGAATACAAATCTTTATTGGCCAAGTGTGATTGGACACACAAGGAATTTGTCTTGGTGCAAATGCTCTCAGTGTACATAAAAGGAAAGGTATTCCCAGAATATTGGAACAACCAACCAGCCAACACAACCCAATTATTTTTTGGCGTTTCTTTTTTCCTTTTAGATGGTGAGCAAGAAGTTAACAAAGCCCTCCAGAAAAAAGGATGGTCGCTGGTCCAACACGGGGGATATCGGCTCCGTTCAAGACTCGTATCCACTCTAAAGATGGGAGAACATGGCCGTGGTGCCTAGTGGTCAGACAATAAGGGAGTCCTCGACTTACAACCACAAACGGAGCCCAACATTCCTAGTGTTAAGCAAGATGGTTGTTAAGTGAATTTTGCCCCATTTTACGACCTTTCCTTGCTATGGTTGTTAAGTGAATCTGCCTCCTTCATTGGCTTTGCTTGTCAGAAGGTCATCAAAGGGGATCCCATGACCCTGGGGAATGCAACCGTCATGAATACGAGTCAGTTGCCGAGCGCCTGAATTTTGATCACGTGACCCTGGAGATCGTAACGGTCATAAGTGTGAAAAACGATCATAAGTCACCTTTTTTTCAGTGCTGTTGTAACTTCAGACAGTCACTCGATGAGTGGTTATAAGTCGAGGACAACCTGTACAAGGAGAATAAATGACCATTGATTTAGAGCATAGAATAACAAGTTGGAAGGGACCTCGAAGGTCATCTAGTCCAACTCCCTACTCACTTAGTTTTGATGTAATGAAAATGTCAATTTTGTCCATCCACCCTGGCTCGATTGAAAGCAGAGCTTGTAGCTTGGTGTGATTTTTTTAGAGAGCAACTTATATTTAGTGGTTGAGTCTTAACTCTTTGCAGTATGGAGGTTGACGAGGAAGAAGAGGACTTGCTGGATACCTACGCATCGCCTTCAAAAGTAAGCGGGTAATGGATGAGTCACGTATCTCCTTCAGGGTGACTTGTAGAAGGAGATCCCTGTTGGGGGCGAGGGCCCAGGAATGACACAAAACCTACTTTTGTGGCTCAGCAGCTGAAATCTTGGGATAGACTGCCTCTCAGACTGGAGGCTCTATTCTAATGATTGCAGCGAAGGTGAGCCCTCCTGGAAAAGGCCTCTGGGTTTGACAAGTTTCTTCTGTGTGTCTCTTGTGGCCTGTTCCAGAAAGTAAGATTCAGCGAACATTTAACCAGCATGGGGAAAGTGAGGTGGCTTGATCAGCGCTGCTTGAAAAATCATTTCT